AAAAACAATAGATTTAATTGAAAATGTTATAAGCGTATTAACAGATATGCGGGAAGCTTCAGAAAAAGAATTTAAATTAATTTTTAATGAAGTAAAGGTAATATAAAATCTTAATGTTTATTTTATATTTTTATTTAATCTAAGTACCTAATCACTTATAGAAATCAGCAGATCTATTTGGGATTACTATCAATAAAAAACGTATAACAACAAAACAAACTAATAGAGCTAATCCTCAAAATATAAAATCAGATGAAGATTATTTTCGAGTGACAATATTTTTGCCTTATATAGATCATTTTATATCTCAACTCAAGGAAAGATTTATAAACCATAAAAATATTTTAATAGGTAACACCAATATATTAGTTGTAAATTATTGTAATAATTAAAAAGTATACTTCTATTTTATTTACAAAAATCTTACTGAAATCCCTAGGTTTTGAATGCTTATTTCATTCAGAGTTTACCGATAAAGATAAAACAGAATTTCAAAAATTAGTTGATCTGTATTCGCCTATTATCGATAAACACAATGTTTTGGCTGAACTCAAAATGTGGAAACTAAAATTAGCTTCAAGCTGTGAAAGTTTAACAAAAAATGGATTAGAAGCTTTACAAAACTGCGATAAAGATATTTATCCAAACATCCATTTTTTGTTTAAAATATTAGTTACTTTGCCTGTTTCTACAGCTACACTAGAACGGAGCTTTTCTACATTAAAACGTTTAAAATCCTATTGTAGAAATTCAATGAATGAGGTTTTTCTTATATTATTTCCTAATATTACTATACAATATTATAATTTATAATGTTTTATTATTATCTAATATATTATTAATTATTTTTATTTTTATTGTATTAGGAACGTCTTAACGGACTAGCACTTTTATCAGTTCATCGGACAATAGACATAAATATTAATGAAGTAATTGATGAACTGGCAACTAAACAGAGAAAACTTGATTTTGTATTATAAGTGTAAAGTATCAAAGTTTAAGTATATAAGTCTGAAAATATTTTTAATTTAACAAATGATTAATGAACAATACTTATATATATTGTTAAATGTTCTAATTTATAATTATTATAATAAAAAAAATATTTATGATACTATTATTTTTGAACTAAGTTTCTTATTGTATTATTGGTCATTGATGTTGAATGTTGGTAGTAAGATGGTAATTATTAATGAGTAATCTCAAAGAATATTTTTTGAATGTAAATTAAAAATTGAAATTTATTTCAGATTTAATTAATAATAATCATTATGTTATTGTTATTAACCAAAAAAATGAATAATTGGTATTTAGTGTAGAATATAATAATATATAGTGTGTAAAGTTTAAACTGAAGAGTATTTAGTGATCAAGTTATGATAACCTGAAGGGGGGTGTAGGGGGCGAAGCCCCCCACTTTTATGTGCGAAATTCAATGGCTCATTCCCTCCCTATAACAATTCCTAAATACGCCGCTGCATATTACTAAGTATATTTGATGATATTAAGGTGAAAAAAGTAATTTTTATAATATAACCTATTTACGTGGAATCTTGTTTTAAATTTTCAATCCTTAGCTATGCTTTTGAAGAACATATAAGCATTTTTACTGTCCTAAAATTTGATGATAGAGTGACAGACACACAAAAAAAAATTAATACACTGATGTGTAAAATCAATACATTCATCGCTCTGCTCAGAATCTAAAAAAAACTAGTGTGAAAAAAAAGATATTTTTATATTAGTATTTTTTTAGTGTTTACAGCAGCATATTAAGTTTTTTTGTCAAATTCGGTACGAGTACCTATACCGGGTGATTCTTTTATCATTGAACACTCATTATTTCAAAAAGTGTAAGTTTTTTTACATAGTTTCAAGTCGCTTATAAAAGAACATTTTTATTAAAAAATTAGATTTTTAAATATTTTTTATCTATATAATTTTTTAAGTTTTTTAATTTTTTGAATGACAACATAGGGTTTTAATTTTATATTCCAAAGCAGAATATTTTTCTAAGTATTTCGATACATGAAAATCGAATTTGGGGTGAGTAGTTTATGAGTTATAAATATTCAAAGTTTA